ACATGCACTAAATTGAAAAGAAAGCTTCATCTCGATAAATTTAGAATTAACTCATAGTCCCTCTATATGCTGAACTCATATTCTCAGAAAGCAAAAAAAAAACAAATTAAACTAAATCTGGCTTTGATTTTCCAATGTAGTTTCTATTCCACTAAAATTCATTTTTATGTCGAGAAGAACTTGATTTCTTCTCTTAGCTTTAGAAAAATCTACAATGTTGCAAGAAGATATATGCAAGTAATATCAATAATATAAAAGAATGAAGGTTATTGCATTTATTACTTTTCAAACTGCTTCACATGAATATATATCAAGAAAATATTTGATTCTTATTGAATGACACTCACTGTAATACTATAAATTAATTCATTTCGTTTCCAATCAACAAATAGAATAATTTTAGGTTTATCACGTGAAATAATAAGAATTAAATCATCATCTGTTTTGGGTGAAAATGATAATAAACTTATATAAGAACCAAATTGATCTTTACGTATTTCAGTTATTGTTCGAAGTTTTACATGATCCCAAATATGTATTAAAGCTCGTTGATTAATTTTTGATGAAGATATTTCACTTGATGCAACTAATGATTGAAACTGATGAATATGAGCACTATGATATTTATTAAAAAACAAAAGAAAAAAAAAACCATATATGAATTATGATTTAAAATAATTCTTACCAAGTAATTGTATTATTATGTTTTGTATAGAAACGTTGTTGTTTTAATTTTGATTCGTATAAAATACAAATTGAACCAATAACATAAAGTATTTCATTTTCTGGAAGAGTATAAAGTCTTTTTGTTAATTCATTTTCACCATGATAACCATGACTAAAAAGAAATCAAACTAAGAAATATTATTGTTTCTATATATTTTAAACTTACATCCAACTTAATGATACTTTTGAATTTTCAATAACTATAAACAAAAAAAAAGAAAATATTAAATCAAAGTTTAATTAAGAACTTTTTCTTTATTTTGAAATAAATACTTTGTTTCGAAACATATTTTTGATTAGTTCTATGAATTGATCGTCGCAGCCATTGACGATTTGTAAATAATTCATGCGGTGTCATTTTTCCTAAATAATGTTTTGCATCGGCATATTCATTTTCTGTACATCCAATAAATGTATCGGTTATTTTAATCATATTGAATAATTTTGAAAAACTTTTTATTTCTATAAAACTATCTTTTGTTATACCAAATAAATGTCGTACATTTTCATGATTTGTATAATGAGTAAGTAAATCTGTTACTTGATCTTGTAACCATTCTTCAAATGTTTGTGTTACATTTCGATTAAAAATCAAACTTTCATACATATTCAATTGTGAATAAGGTAATAGAAAAATTTGTTCATTATTAGGAGGTGGTGAATGCCAACGTGGATGAACAGATAATCTTGTATTCCAATAAGGAACTGTATCTTGTTGCGTATTTGTATTTAGATTTACATCTGTTTCTTCCGTAAATAAAGGATACATAAAACGATAATTTGTTCGAGTAAAAGCTCCAGCTGCAACAACATATGATTGTCGATTTTGAAACTGATTAACAGAACGAATTTCTTGACCAGTTAATGAATAAACATGTTTTATAGCACCAGTTGGTAAACGAAGTCTTGGTTGACGATCAAGATAATTAAGAAATGCTTCCCATGATTTAAGTTCAAATTCGTTAATAGCCAATTTAACACCATGATGATGTTCATCACCATTACGAAAAAATCGAACTAAAACACCTTGAAATGAATGAGCATTTACTGATGGTATAGCAGCAAGTGTTCGAGCTATGTTTAAAAAAACACAACAAAACAAATCAATTAATGAAATTACAAAATTAATACATTTATTTGATGATATATTTAGTTTAATTCTTTCATGTACATACGCACTTAAATGTTCTAGTAATTCTTTAAGTTATTTCTTTAATAAAAAAATCTTATAGATTTCTTTTTTCGAATTAAATTTATTATTATGCATAAAAATTTCTATTAAATTTTCTTGTGCCTTGAAAATGTATATGACAAAAAGAACAATATAAAATTAGAATTTTAACAATATTGTTCTAGATTATATTCCTTTTTTTTAATCATCAAGAACTCATGTGACTGAATTAGACTTAATAGCTAACACTTTAAATTGAAACATACTCTATTTATACTATCAATCTGTTACTTGTTCAATTAAAAATTTGATTTTTAAGCACAAAATAAATATATTCTTGATGCTTACGTGTATTTAATGATGAACTATTTTTAATTGGTGATGATTTTCCAGTTTTTGTAATGAATAATGTTGATGTTGGAGTTTTATTCATATATTTATTTTTTGGTATTAGTTTTGTTTGATTTATTTTTGTTGTTGTTATACTTTTTATTATATGTGGTGATTCTTCTTCATTATTGATATCTAATGTTAATAGAAGTGCATCTGAACTACTTCGTTTTATATTATTATTTGGTAAATGTTTTAGTGGTGATACAGTCCGGTCACGTCGAATATAATTCTTATTATTTTCATAATTATCATTACCATTTCGAGTAGTATCAGAACTATTATTATTATTATTGTTATTATTATTATTCTCATTAACAGACATTTCTATAGGACTTATTTGTTGAGTAGTATCACTTGTAACAGTTGATTTTGATGTTTGCGTTGGCGGAGTTGATTCAGTAGTGGATTGTTTTGCATCGTCATCATCTTCTTCAATTGGCACTACCGAAGGTTTCGCTCGCTTTCCTAAAAAAAATCAATTATAATTGTATTGTAAAAGAAATAAATTCTGTTTTTTGTTTTTTGACATACTTTCACTATCAAATATTGTTGTTGTCTCACGTAATAGAGGAAGAGAAGTAACACCTAATGATGAATTTGAACGTCTAGGTGTAAGAATAGTTTGTTGTCGATTAGATCGTTGAATAGAAATGGTTCGTGCTAATGGAGATTCATTTTTCTTGTAACCATCAACAAGACTTTCATCATCCTGTGAAAACAATATAATATTTACTAAGTTTCAGTTATGTCTTTTTTAGTATCTTAGAAACTGAGTAAACTCATAATGTTGGTTGTTCAAATTTTCTTTTTTTTTTTTGTATATTTATATAAACTTTGATTTTTCTAGTTGATCATTAGAAGTTTAACAGGAAGAGAGAAAGTAAAAACAACTTAAGTAAACACTTTTCTTAAAGTCATCTGAGAATAGGAGACAGACAGAATATTGATATAACAGAAAACTAAAGAAAATAAAATTACAATATTTACTTATTTTTCTAACTAGATTTTTTTCTTAATTTTCCTGAAAATTCTATTTCTAAGTTTAAAATATCGTACTTGATTAAAATCAACATAGCTAATAGCATGATTGAAACGTGTTGGAACATTAGTATGATATGAAATATCACCATTCGAATTGGGTAACATAATTCTTATATGTGACGATGATGATGAACGATAGACGAATTTAAATAATATAACAATTCTTTTTTGATGACATCTAGCCTATTTAATAATTCAATTTTTCTTTTTCATTACTTTGTTGTATTTTTCATGGTTTCCATTGGCCCTGAAGCCGATAAAATGTGATTATAATATATAATACTGTTGCACTTTGCTTTCTCTATCATACGATTATATTTCTTTTCTTCTTTTGTTACAATATATATACTATTTAAATTATATTGAAAATTTAGAATTACTTTGTTCATCTTTACATCTATGATGATAATCTATATAGAACATTTGTTTTCTGTATCTTAGTTAGAGCTCTGTATCAAACTGCCAATCTAACTATCGCAAAGCTCGAGTGATCGTAAAAATTTTTTTTTGCATTCCGTGTCAGAATTACATAAGTGAAAAAAACAAGCATGTACAGTCTTGCATGGTAACAGTTTTATTTTGCATATATTAAATGAATGGACAAATATGCACTATTATATAGCCTCATAAATAAGTTTCAAGAAAAAAAAAGCATCACAATGGTATTCTCATTAATAAGTAAGACAAAAAAAAAGTGCATTTGCTAGGTAAGAAAAATTTTTCGAAGCCAGTTTTACACAAAGAAAATTTTCGATGACGCTGTCAAAAAGTTTGAATCCACAGGCCTCTAGCTTTAATTTATGAATAATTAAATGAATTTGTGTAATTGTATATGTGGAAATACTCACTAAGTGGATTTATGAATAAAATCTTATATAAATACTTTATTGAACTTTATTTATATTTTTCAATAATTAAAAATGAAACTTTTTGGTAAGTAATTGAAAATAAAAAATTATGCAACCATTTTAAGGAGTCTATGATATTTAGTTGTCATGCTGAAAAATAAAATCGACAACAAAATTTCTTATTATGACAAAGAAATAATTCACTGAGGTCCAGAAAATAATAAACAATCTATTTAAGAACAAAAGACATTAGACATGAATATAAATATGAATATTTGGCAAATTCTTCGTATTGAAAATGAAACCTTATACGAGAATATGTAGTAATTATTTAAAAAAATTTTCCATAACCCTCGATATGTTCCTCTTATTTTGATGTTTCTATCTGCTGTCATTTTTACCATCCGACAGTAAATAGAGTTCTTGTTTTTTAGTATGATTTTGATAAATTCAAAATATGACTATCAACATTCGATTGCACAGTACTGCATGTGATTGAATAACATGTATGCAAATAGACGTTAGTGAGAAGCAAAATAGGAATTACGCACTTTTGTCGAATATGCGACGAATAATCGCTTTTCCTATTTTAAAATGATTTTCTGTACAAGAAATTTTGTTTTAATATACAATAAATAATAGAATACTTGAATATTGTCAATTTCAATTCATTTGAGTTCTCATTTCATATAAATGAACAATCAAATTCTAGTATATTGATCGGCTGATCAATGAATATTTCTTACGTTGTTTAAACGAATTAAAAGAATAGACTTATAGAAAAAGATAATTATAGATTAGCTTTTAAAAAAGAAATTATGTCAAATATGTTTCTCATCAACATTGAATGACTCAGCCATGTCCTTTGAATTATCCACTATCCACCAATAATTCATATTTGCTCGTTCAAGTGCCCAAAAACGTGCATCAACATTTGAATCAACACCTGGTGTCGACGCAAGAAATTCAATTAACTAAATATAATAATAAAATATAGAAAATTAATAATCATTTGTAGATCTTACCTCAGTCTCACGAAATTCATCTTCAAATGTTGCTGTTATATCAATTAGCAATTGCCCTAATCTCTGATTTGTTCGTCCATAACTACAATAGAAAAAAAAAAGAAAAGAAATCAAATATGACAGATAAAAACTAAAGACATACTTAGCTTGAAGTTTAGCCCAATTTTCTCGATAATAATACCAGACTAATTCACGACCTATTAAATAATAAATGTAGAAAGAAAATTTTAGATATTTGAAATTTCCTAACCTATAGGATTTTTTGCAAGTAATGTTAACACTGATAATAAATCAACATCACGATCTTGATTATTTTCTGCATCACGATATAAAAATCTAAATTGAGAAAAACAAGCAAGTTAGAACTAAAAATATCAAATCTATTTTCTTACTGATATAAATGCCATGGTTGTCGTGATTGTGTTAGTGCTTTGAGTAAACGATAACGTTCTTGTGCATCAATAGAATAATGAAAATCAGTTGAAACTACTGTCCATTCAGTATCATTGTATGTATTTTGAAAATGAGTTTGATAGACTACTTCTCGAGTATGAGCAGCTAGTCTAAAACAAAATACAAATATTACTTTCTTGAACAAATAAAATAAAAAATAAGTCTACTGACGAATTATTAGCTGTTCCACTAACTAAAGCAGGAAATGCTTCATTCCATAATAAAGTTACTTTATCAATACATTCATTTAATCTTAGTCGACATGCAAGTTGAATAATTATATTTTTGAGAATTCTTAAAGAAAAATTTTTTTACATAAATAATAGAAAAATAAAAAAGTTTTTAATTACTGTTCAGCAAATGTTCCATTAGTATTCCATAAATTTGCTTCATATGTTGTATAATAATTTCGAACAACAAGTTGAAAATATTTCTATTTGAAAACAAAAGAAACAAAAGAAAAATATAATAAATTAATCAATTTTTTATTTTTCTTAAAATATTATTTTTGTCTTACTTGAACAACACGAAATAATGATTCATATTCGAGTACATCTAACATACGATTTACATGATATGATAATGTTTGCCATGGAAGTAAATCTGTATATGCAGTACGATATAAAAATTGTGTAAATGATCTAACAATAGCATAACTTTCTTCAGTGGTTTGAGCATTTAAAAATGCACCATTTAATAAATTAGCTCGATCAATGTCAGCTAAATCAACATTGTTATTATCTAAAGCAGCACCTAATTCTACCGAATTTTCAGGTGTATAATCCATAATATAATATCCAGCAAAATGAGTATTACAATAATAATACGCATAATGAGAAGAATTAAAATTTATATTCGTTGTTTCCTGATCAAGAAAAAATGTTCGAGTTAATGTAAAGCTTGTTGGATTATTACTAAATCGACATATTATTGGAATATACCAAATATAACCAAATGGATTTGTTTCAGGTGGATAAAGATCATAGTCATACATATGTGCACTTAAATGTCGACTTTGTATAAGTTGAAAAGTATATGTGCTAGTACTGTTATTATAAAGAAAACGAACGAATACTTTTGGAAAATTTGATTGTAATATCCAACGATCAAAAAAATCTAGACCTGTCCAACTACCAATCGTATATTTACTAAGGAATTCATCTGGTATAAGATATCCAAATTCATTATTATGAAGATAAGACTAAAATTAAATAAACACATATTGACTTATTTTTAACTTGTTACAATAATCTTTAAAGAATTCTCAATAAAAAAATATTCACTATTCACTTCATTTTAAAAAAAAGGATCTTCCATAAAACATCAAACAATTCATTTCATCAAGCAAAAACAAAAACAAATAGAGCTACTTTTTATCATTACAGGTTAACTATGCAGTAGAGTCATCAGTCGTGTTTGATTCTGGTCTTCTCGTCCGGAGGAGTAATTACAAATTCTAGAAAGGTCAACCTGATATTCGAAGAGACGCTACTTCTTCGACCATAACACATGATGAAACACTGGTAATCAGACATTAAAAAGAAAGAATAACTAGCACAAACAAAAATGTTCTGATATTTTATCAAAATAATTAGTCACATGTTTTTTTTCAATAACGGTTGATGAAGATAGTTAGAGCTCTATAACTGGTGGTAAACAAATGAACGAATATTATTCAGCCGAAAATTTCGATTTTTTGAATTGTGATACATATAGCAAATGAAAAATAACTTTGACAGATGATCTGTTAATTAATCAAGTCTTTATGTTAGCAATGAAGTTAGGGACTCTCCTTCATCATTGATAACGATGAAATCATCCGAGATGATATTTCAAGTTTGAGATATTGAGAATAGAAGCACTAGTTTTTTTTACTTTTGACACGGTATTTATAAAAAAAACCCGAAAAAAAAACAATATTGGTCTAAAACGTTACCCATAGACAACTCTCAAAGTTATTAGAAGCTTCTGAAAATTTCAGCTCAAAGAATAGTTGATTATTCTCGAGAACAGTCAAGTTTTTTTTGGACTGAAGTTTTTAGGAGATTCTAATAACTTCAATTGCTGTCCTTGGACAAAGTTTTTGGTCGAAATTTGTTTATTTGTTTGTTTTTTAAACACAATGATAAAGGTAAAGAATCCAGTATAACAGGCACTGTATGGAAAAGAATCCTTCTAGATTTCTTCTATTACCAACGAGCCCCACGTGTGACTGAGATCTCATCTCAAACGCGAATTATCACCTCGTGCAGTTCTCTTGTAAGTAGATTTTGAGGCTGGTGTTATGAGTTTGGTATGCAACATTAATACATACGCACTTATATAATATTTAGATAGAATTACATTCTAATGGCTTCTTTATTAGTTATTCTCAATATTATCGATAAGAGTCAAAGAAATACTTGATTGATATTTATTTTATCGAATTCAGTTTTGTAAAGAAAACTTTCTATAATAGTGTTAAGAGTTTTATACGCGTCGAAAATGATTACTCATTTCCAAACAGTTTAATTTCTGTTTATTATCTAAAGGATCTTATTGATTACTTTGAACAAGTCTTATTTATTACTCTTTTCTTGCTTCATAGCATCTATAGGGTACGATTATATAAAAGTTTAGTTCTCTTAAACTGTAAGACATATTATAACTAGTTGTATAACACATGAAAGATTCAAATAGTCATAATTTCTTTTACAATTTAATGCTGAAATGATAAATAAAAATAGTAATTGAATATTTGAATAATCCGAAATTTTTAATTCAATTTGCTTCAAAATAGATTTATCATTCATTTAATCAGTGCTTTATTGCGATTTTCTCTTTTGGAGGAGCTATTTAAAATTTCAATATGGTAAACACATCTTTTTGGAAACAAAGACGCATAGTATGTGACTCGGGATGTGCAATGTTGATGTAAATAATGACTACTGATGCGTTTCCTGCAACATAGAGACACTAACTCTATCAAAATATGCCTTTTGTAGCAGTGTATTTCAATGTTGCAGTGAACATTAATGCCGGCGTGTACGAACTACATTGAGTCGATGACATCAGTGGTCAGTAAAATGAAATTATACATCCCTATATGTGGTACAATGACAACAAACTCTGACAGGAGCAACTCGATTTTCGGAGAGGCATCGCTCCCTCCATCTCTGTACTGGATAAAATATTGCATTTAACATTTTTTTCCTGTTAATGATCTTATCAAACTACCGTGACTAACTTACCACAATATTAACTAACGTCGTGTTCGTAAAACCCGTAGTTTTATCCGTATAATAGTCAGCCATTTTTAAAATTGCTGTTGCTTTTGTTGTTTCAATACTATCAAATAATTCATTAATTTGTGCTGGACTATTAACTGGTTTGAGTATTGGATGTGATGTACTCAAAGAATCGTCAAACATAGTCGGTAAAAGTTCTCCAGTATAAAATTGATCATGCTAAATAAAGAATATAAAAATTTTTTTTTCTAGTTTTACATTTAAAACATACAATATTCCATTCAGGATAAGCTATATCAACTGCATGATATTTCATATAATTAGAAATTGCTTCTTGTAGCCATAAATCTGTCCACCATCGAAATGAAATCAAATTTCCATACCACTTACAAAAATAATAAACAATAATCTTGAAAATAAATGAGATTTAAACAAAAAACAAACTTGTTCAGCTATTTGTTTAGCAACTGCTAAAGCAATGTTTTGATGTTCAGCTTCAGATGTTGTTTCTGGATTATGAAGAAGACTACGTTCAGAAAATATTATGAGACCCCAATGTGATACTGCATCAGATGGATATTCAGGTACGGCAAGAATATCTAAATTAGATTTGAATTTAAATGATAAATCATTAGAATCAGTAATAGTTAGTTAAACCTATTTGTTTTGGTACAATAGGAGTTTGTACTTCTTGAAAAATATTTAAAAAAGCAGTAAGAGTTCGTTGAATCATATTGAGCGGTCCATCAACATAGATTCCATTATCATTCGTAAAAAATGGTTTTCGTGCCCATAAATTAATCTATTAATTGAACAAAGCAAAAAACAGATGTATTTTACTAAATAAAAAATTTTTTTAATGAAACATACCTCAATCTTTCGATTAGTGATTGGATGTGTTGCTATTGCTGTTCTCTTATCAAAATCATCAATATAAAATATTGCAAAAGCTATTAATGCAGTTGGTATTGGTGGTACTGTTTGAAATTCAGTATAAATCGTATTCTGAATCTCAAAACTTTCCTAATAAATTAATTTCAGATTAGATGAAAAATATATTTTCTTATTTTCTTACCTCTTCATCCCAATTACTCAAAGCTTTAGTATTATTCTCATGCATTACTGTTAATTGAAATTTGGCTTTAAAACCTGGTTCATCAAAACATGGAAATGCTTCTCGAGCATGTACTGGTTTCAGATGCGTTAATATTATTCGAGATGTTCTAGAATTAATAAGTGACAAATCAAGAAAAACAAAATTATAATTTGTTTTTTTTTTAAATTATTTTCGTTTTATTTACTCTGTTCCATATGGGTCTTTATTAAATTGATTTTCAAATATTCCAGTTCCATGAACACTTAATGCTCGAAAGAATGAAATACGAAGATCATATGTAAAACCAACTCGTAGTTGTTCTCCCAAATGTATAATCAGTGTTTGAGTATTAGGAAATGGTACAGCACAATCAACAACCAATGGAATATTGTTCGGACTTGCACGTTGAGTTACAGTAACATTGGAAAGGAGTAAATCACCATGAAGAATTATATCATTTGTTGCTGACCGAACTTCAAGAACAATATCAACTGTACCACTATATTCATCATGTGCTTCATTTAATTCAAATAATTCTAATGTCAACTGATAATCAATAGGATAAACATTTGTCGGTAGTCGACTTTGATTCCACGGAGCATTAGGATTAAGAGATGTATGACAACAATCAAAATTGAAACATGGAATATCAGCTTTTCTTGATGTTAAACTACGTTTTGGTCGAGAATAATAAACTGGTCTTGATTTAGGTTGGTCTGGTTTAATTGCTTCATTATTACTTACAAAACATACAGTATTTTGAGTCCAATACAATGAAAATATTGAAACAATGAATGCCGATAAAACAAAAACCACAATCAATAAAGCACATATAGGTAATGTTAAACTAATTTTTTTATGTAGGAATGATCGTTGTTGATAAATTTGTTCAAGTAAGATCACATCATCTTTATTGCTCTCCATGAAGATTTTCTTTTTTGTAAGAGTAATGGTGAAATCTTTTCGTTATAAATATACTTTAATTTATAGTCGATGTTGTAAAGATATCGGTTTCTATCATGAAAGTTTTATTATAAGGTTCGCTGGACTTTTATTTTATGTTTAATTTTTTTTTTCTAAAGATGGTTGAATCTCAAGTATCTTTTATAGATGTATAAAACTATTGTAAAATCAGACTATCATTTTATACTTGAGTACTATTCTTAAAATTTTATTATTTTCGAATCATAAAAAGAACCATTAAAAGATTCAATAATAATGAAAATTTGAAATAGATGATTTTAGTGTAAAACAAATCAATGATGAAACTTCCTAAGATCATGCTAAATAATTTTTCAATTTAAATGAACCTCTCAATATTTCTGCTACTTCGTAACATTTCGAATTGAATTTTTTTCTAAGGTTTGTAACATGAAATAGTCTACAAAAACTATAGAGAAGAATTGACTAAAAAAGTAAAAGTAAAAAAAAATTGTTCAGAGAGTATTCAGAATAATGTACTGCTAACAAATTCCAAACGTAGAATTGATTTTCTTTTGCGTATGTCTTGTGTCCTGGTATTGAAATATGTAAAAGCTTTAATGCACATTCTGTAGAACTTGAATAGATCACTTAATAATTTTCCTAATAAATGTCTTTGGTGCAATATGTACATCCGTTGCTTTGTTTCAGTTTTAAGGAAAAACATGTCTTTGTAACACAAACTTTGTGCTTTCGAACAAATGGTTTATTTTAGGTAAAACATTTAATTTGCACTTTCTAGTTTTGCTGAATTATGCCTAAATACTTTTTACTTTTGACGAGGTGAAAACTACAACAGAAAATTGCTTAGTATGAATCTTGTATCTAGAGAATATACTTCTCAATAGTTTTTATTATGATATTATTCTTCGTATATGGCATTTGTTCGCGCATACTTCATTGTGCTTGAAATAGTGCTTTGAAGTATCTTAGTAAATGTTTATTATCCAAAAGAAACAAAAAAAAAACGATCTAATTCATACTTTTTTCTTAAAAAGTGGCTCACCCATGGGTCATGTATGTAATTGTGTTGAATAAATTTTTAACAAATGAATAAGCAATCATATTTCAAACATAAATAATTAATGTAAAAACAGATATTCGGTAATACTTGTTGCAAACCCAACGACTTCCTCTCATAAAGTTTTTAATAATGGCAGATGTCGATGGTTGTTATTGCAAAAGAAATTTGATCCGTTCTTATGTATACTGCTTTGTATATGATCATGAAGCAGTACCGAACGTTGAAGAAAAAATGTGAACGAAAATTGATGATTGAGAAGGCTCCGTAGAAATATAATTACAATTTAAAAAAACATAGTTGATGATGAGCGAAGAGAATCAGACAGGGACACTTTTTCGAATCAAAAGAAAGTTTTTTAAAGTCATAACAATATTATCTTTTGTTTTGTGTATTTAATAATGTTGTAGTCAATCGAAGAGTTATAGAGATTTTTTTAAAATTGTCAGCGGAACTATGAAATATGTTTTGAAAATTTTATATTGTTAGCAATACATTTTCGGCCTCTATATTTTTAGCAGAAGTCTTCCTTTGGTTTTGTAGACAATATCATACTGCATTTTTTTGGAAAAAAAGCTCAGTCCAAAACAGTAAGAAATAGTAGAGATATTGAAAGGTTCATTTATTCTGCTGTATCAGCTATTAAGCAACATTAATTGAAAATTCTTATCGAACGTTTTAAATAATATATATGACGAAATTTATTTTTAATAGTAAATGAAAGAAATAATACATTATCTGATAAATCCTATTGAAATCTAATTATATCTGCACAAAAAATATCTTTTACAAAGAAATATAAAAATAGAATACACAAAAGAAAAAGAACATTATCATATATATGTGACACAGTTAATTTATTCATTGTCTTCTTCATCAACTTGCTCTTCTTCTTCTTCTTCAGCTTGATTTTCTTGATGACTTGTTCGTAATGTTCTTTGTTCATCTGATATACTATCCAAATTAAATCGAAAATCTCGTACAGCTGACATTTTAAATGTTTCTAATAAACGTTTCTACAACAGAAAACAAAAGAGACAAAAATAAAAATATCTGAAAAACTATTAACATACATCTTGTTGTTTGCCTAATTCAAGTAATGATCGTTCATATTGTTCCATTTCATAGACTAATTTTGGTACTAATGTATCTTTAAGTACACTTTTTTTCTAAAAAAAAAACAGAAAAAGAAATATAAATATAATTTATTATTGTATTATATAAATTGAATTTTATGCCTTTTTTGGATCTTTTTTATCTGTTTTTTTCTTTTTCTTTTTGACTGTATCTTCTTCATCATCTAATTCCAAACTCTAAAAACAAGAACAAAATAAAGATTTCTTTCATTTTCTATCTTATACAAATAGAATACCATTGTATAAGTTAAAAATCCATAACAAGGCTGTTGTAATTGTGAACCAGATATTGATGCAAGTTTTTCAAATTCATCACGAATTGGTATTTTATTTTTAATCATCTATAAAATAAAAGATAAAGTATAAAAAAACAAATAAGAATAACTTTGATTTATACCTGACGAGTAAATTCATCAAGAATAGTATATAATTTAGTTAATAATTTAACTATATTAATAATTGTCATTTTATTTTTTAATCGACATTGTAAAATTTGTCCAAATGTTGTTAATGAATATGATAATTGTCCACAAAAATGTGTTATTTGATCATGTGATAATATTTGAGTTTGAATTATCCATTCAAGACTATTTATCATTCTTTCTAAATCAACAAGAACAATATTATTTAATATAACCATATGAGTTTTTTCGTTGATTATAGCAAAATATGGTTGATGAACAAATTTAGTCTATGAATAAATAAAAAAAGATTTTAGAATTTGATTTTAAAAAATGAAGTTTACATCTTCGGAAACATCTTCACATTGACCATGAATATCCATAGCAATTTTACGAAGAAGTGGTGCATGATTACTGATTTTTGATGAAAGTTTAATAAGAAGACGAACTAATGCTTTACTTAATTGATGATCCTCTAAAATAAAATAAAAAATAATATCATAAGTTTCATGTATTAGAATGAAGTAGATCAAAGATTCATGAATTGTGTTGTTACACTGCGAGACCATACTAAAATTTTTTGAGGATAGAACACCGTTAGATTAGAAGATTTTTCTCTTTCTTCTGGCTATATTGCTCTTTTCTTTAAAAGAAAAGCATCTAAATCTAAGAAAATGAATGAATATCATTGCTTTTTTTTTCTTGTATTTTGAAAGAGTCTATATATACATATATTTTATTGACTTTATTTAAGGTCATGAAAATGAAAGAGAGATTATGACACAATCATGTCCAAAACGAAGAGAATAAAGTCTTTATATATTCGTCAAACAATAGAATGAGTTATCTTCGACCATATTTAAATAATTCATATAGCTCAGTATTACAATTATGTATCTCCGTGACCGTATACGGATCAATAAGATCATAGTAGCAAATCCCCATGCAAAGTGCACAACTTTTCTTTCTTTTCTATTGACTCTTTCTCTTAAATATCTGACTTTTGACTTTTTATATCCTTAAGTAGATGCTGTAAAATGTTTGATAAAAATCATAAGATTCTAGAAGGTTTCAGATTTATTCCAATCAAGTTAACATTTCTTCAACAACAGACTTACACATATGTATTCAACATTATCTATACAGAAAATATAAAGTTAAACTGAGCCTATAGATGAGCAATTTTATTTTCATAAATTATTATGTATCTGAATATAACATGGAGGTATGCATTCGTAATGTTAAGACATGTAAAAAAAACCTTGTTTCTTGGTTTAGCATAGGTACTTGATAAATTAGAAAAAAGCCTTCTCTCTTAAAAGACATGGCTGATGAAATGTGGCGAATATTTAACGAACCAATAGGAGACGTATCGTAGATTTTATTATTTAGTGTCCAAAAAAGTTTAGTCCATTATCCATGTGAGTCATTTGTGTATACATTTTGAATTTTTATTCAACACAATACATTATATAAAAACATACATATTTGAGTAAAAGTTTCATTAGAATAATTAAATGGTGACGACAAATAGAACTCAGATCGACTATTTTATAGCTATTCACTTTTATTTTTATTTTTGATTGTAAACAATTTTCATCTTTACGAATATAAACATTCGAAATTTTTTCATACGCTCTCATAATAGATATCTATTACTTTGATTGATAAGGAATAGATATATAAAGTGATCGTGTAAAAAAACTTTGTTCATCATACCGTATTTTCCTTGCATACAAGTTGAACTAGCCCATTCAGCAAATGATTGATATTCATTTCGATCAATATGTTCTCCATCTTTTAATGCTAATTCAAGAATATCAGCAACATAAATTAATGCTTTTAAACAACCCGATGCTTTTGCTGTTGATCCATCAACAGCTGCTGTTTCTATTACACGATTATATTCACCTTCAATTCTTTTATAAATAGCCTAATTTTATTAAATAAAAAATAAAATACGAAAAACAAAAAAATTTTTTTTAATTTTTACTTTAAAACTTTCAGCAAATCGAGCTGTTTGAGGATCAGTTTGACTATAACTTATATTTGAATCAATTGCATCAGAATCACCAGATAATGCTTTCATTGCACTATCAATCATTAAAGTTGCTGCACCACGAAAATTATTTACAATAATTTTCCATACTTCTACGATTAATTGTAAAATTTGTTCTGTCAATATAATATTAATATCTTTTGTTACAGCTTGATATAAAATTCTATTAAATTTATAAAATTATAGTTTAATATTTTTCTATTATCTTTTAACTTACGTATGAAGATCAATTAACATCATTTGTAATTTTTCTTGTCGCATATTTTCAGCATCAAAATAATATTTAATACTATGTGATGTAATAGCACGTAATTTTGATAAACAGCATCGCATAACATATGTACGATAATTTATATCATCAATAAGTAAATCAATATCAATATTATGATTTGATGTATCTAAATCAGCATTAAACATTTTTGACCATAAAATTGAATGTAAAAATCTTTTTAAACATGTGAATGATATAAGTTTTCCTGTTGTTGGTAAACGTAATTTTGCTTTAGACATTTTATCATAAAGACGAGATTCTTGATCAATAGATTTTAAAATACTTGCAGTTGATTCTCTAGAAAAAAAAAACGTTTTTATAATAAATAGAAAAATTTATTTATTTCACTTACGAATCTTTTATTCGCATAAATTTATATTCAATAAGAACATTACATATATCAATACAAAGTGTATACATTTGTGGACTAGTTTTATCATCAGGTAAACCTTTAACCTAAAATTGATTTTTCAAAATAAATTAAAAACAGAAATCATAGTTGAAATCAGACTGGTTCGGTTTTTTTTTATTCTAAGGACACAAAATCTAGCCTACGTAGCTTGTTTTTTTCACTAGTTACCCCAGATCCAAAGTTAGGCAGATCAATCGACTCTCACAAAAACCTCAATAACTTGTAGTTTTCAGTTCATGTTTTCATTAGAAAATATCGGAAAAGATTCTGTTCTATTGTCAAGATTTTGATAGCTACCAGCATCATGTAACTATAAAAATATTTAGATATTAAGAAACCTTAACATAGGAAGCCTAATATAAAAACTGTATGTTTTAGTTCACCTTATCATGCTGTCGACAATATTATTTTTTCACGAATTGAAATGTCTTTTAGTTGTGTTAATGAATTATTTCAAATATAAATAGATCAAACTTATCAATTATAAACAAATCATATCATTATTGAACAAGATTAGTCAAACCATAGTATTAGCACTTATGAAACGTAACAGAAGTTGTTGCTATTGGAATCTCCTAGAACTATGTGGGGATTCGGTCAAGAATTTTAACCGATTCATCGAGCAAAACTCTATCAGTTTCACGTATGGAAGAGATTATTTTTTAAACTTACACCAACTGAATCAGTAAATTCATCATTATCAAATAAAATAATTAATCGTTTAAATATATCGGTTGCTTTTTTCAAATAAATTGATACATCAGGATCTTCATCGAAAATTCTCGAATTTGTTTTTAATAGACAATCAGCACGATGTAAACACAGACATAAACAATGAAGTAAATGTGCCTAAAGAAAATCAGCATTAAATAGTTTGTTGAAAAACAAAAAAAAGCAAAGATCTTTTTCTTACAAATGGTTCAACAGCTTGTACTTTATCATCACGTTCAATTAAACAAGAAGATAAATTTAATGTACATTTATCGTCGATTGGTTCGTAGTATAAGGCAATCTATATTAAATGATAAAACTTTTTAGTTTAGTATTTCTCATAAAAATAATTTTAAATTACTATCGATGAGATCAAATAAGCGAACAAAGATATCAAAATACTCGTATGATTAGATGGAAGGTGTATATCTTTATTTCTGTTACTCTTCACACTGAGATTGCCGTCCCATATCGGACCGAAGTGTAAATTAATATCAACACTCGAATTAGTGTGTAAATCGATGTCGTATTTGGATTTTCATTGATGGATTGAGAATGAGGAATTATATTTCAATTAGTATAGTCATCAATGGTGAATGAAGTAAATCGATTGTAGACATGAGTGTACCACTGTTTATTTCATCAACACCCATTCCCCGCCTGGTGTTTGCATAAGTATAGTATCAGTTTTCCTTTTAAGTGTTATGTGTTTGAGTTTTTAATTGACTACATGAATTTTATAAGTAGTATAATTTTAGCAAAGAATACCATTTTTTCAAATTTGCATCTGAAAGTTATTTTACGCAGACCACTTGCTATGCTCTATTCAATATTTAAATTGCAATTTTCAAAGACCGTTCATGAACAACAATACATACAGGTTTCTGGAGTCATTTTTGATAAAATCAAATGTTGAGTGTGCTTTGCTGTAGTTAGTGTATGAGTCAATTGAAAATCAAATATCAATTTCTACACAACTTGATGATGGCTACAACTCTAGTATACTTAAATTTTCTCAGGAAAAAAAAGTCAATGGAAATCTAAGGACAGTTGTGTGGAAACACTCACATCCTAATTGAGATATAGAATGTATATTCTTTCTAACGGTGAGACAGGTATTCTCTTCCTAACGATAGGTATGTTGCATTGAAAATATGACAGGATACACTGCTTTAATAATTGCAGACAAAAAATGAGTTTAGAAGTTTCTGTCATGTTACTGTCACATGTAGCCAAACGAAAACATCGCTATTTCTTATTATCCAGATTTACTGAATAATCTTTCATGTGGAGAAATTCTCACGATTTGGATGGTCCTTTAGAACATCGGAGTATTTGTTAACATTCGGTTGGAATAGATTAAATCAAAAATATTTCACTTGTTTAAAAAAATTTCTTTCCTACCTGAGAGATGAGCATATCAAGAATAGGTGCCATTAAAATTGGACTTTTACGAAGAACAGGTAATAAACCCTATGAAATAAAATTAATTCTAATAAAAAATTCTTTCATTTGATCTCATACTTCATAAACAGTTAATCGAACATCATATTGTTGAGTAAGACTTCGTCTTAATTGCATTAATAATTCAATACATTGTCCTTCAGTTGAACGTTGTGTTGAATTAATTGTATTCATTTGTGTTGCACCACGCTACAAAGACAGAAAATGCCAAAAACAAATATCTCTTTTTTTTTTTCTTCAACAGCTAAATCTAATAAATTTACTTCTACTAAAGAAAACATTGTCATTTGACTAGCTTGAGCAGCTGGTGGTCGTATTAACCATTTCGCATGTTTTAATAAAATCAAATAGCCATCAACAGCCATTCGACGACAATCAAGACGACTAAAACATGAAATAAAAAAAAAACTATGATTTAAATCATTTAAATACTTACGGTCGATACATAGCTTTACGAAGTAATTGAAAATATGTTTCACGAAACGGTGTATTACCACTTAATTTAATAATTGGTTTAAATGCATCAATTACATCATGTGCTAAATCATAACGCATTAATAAAATTTGATCAAGTCGATCTTTTAATTGTTCGGGCCATTTTACAAATCGATGACTATTCGTTTTCATCACATCATATAATTGTTCTAAAATATATATATATATATAAATTAACAAAAAAAAAAAATATCAAATTTAGTTTTTCATTTTAAAAATATACCAACAAAATGTTTCACAGTACGATCATTTGTTTTAGCTTCAAGAATTCGATCAAATAAACGATGTATAATATCTTCTTGAATAGATTTATGTAACTAAATATTATCTTTATATATATTTTCAGTAACAAATTAAACATATAGAAATTATACTCGAACAATGTCTGAAAGCCATTTTGAAGCCAATGTTTTTAATAATTCAATAACTGAAAATGATGATTCATTAGTTAACGTTTGTGATTGACTATATTCATCAAGTAATTGAAAACAAAAATCAATTAAACCCGAAAGAATTAAATCACCACCAAATAAACTTAAAAAGAAAAATTAAAATAAAATAAAAAGAAATAAAGCAAATATTTTATTTTGCATTTCACTCTTTTTTTGCAAGTTGTAATAAATAATCTCGATAAAAATCATTATAATTTATTTTTGTAAATAGTATAAGCCAAAAGGCTTCATTATTTTTTTCAAATGTTTGACAAACAAGGTCAAATGACATTTTAAGTTGTTTTATAAACTAAATAATAGAACAAATTATTATCACATTAATATTTCTATTCATGGGAGTAGCCATCAGTTGAATGATCATTCATTGATAACTATTAAAATAGTAGTATCAACTATTTATTCTTTTACAGTTCGTATTACTGACTGTATAAGAACAAAATAGTAAATGTTACTATTTCAGTCGTCTTCGATAAAATATATTTTCATCAATAATCATTCGATCAATGGTGTTCTATTCTTTTATTTGATTTACTTTTCCTTTGATTGTTCGATCTTTTGGCAAGGCAAATATAAATGCCAGACAAAATGGAGAAAATATCTTTGATACATCATTACTTTGAATTTTCTATATAAAAACAGAAAAAAAGAAATTCAAGAATGAAAGAAAAATAATGAAAATATTATTAATTCTACTTTAAATGTTCGTAATAATGTAATACCCAGATCAGATGATAATTCAATAGTATTTAGAATGTGAACAATACAAAGACGAATATTTGATGTATATTGTTTATTACTATAATTAATCATATAAGTGAAATGAAATGAAATAATATCGAATATTAATTTACTCATTTGATTTTGAATCAAGATTAATAAAATATTGTATTAAACGATCGAAAATATATGTACTACAACTTGTTATTTCATTTTCTAAACGATTATCAATACATAATTGAAGAATATTTAGAACAAATATTGGCAATTGATCAATTGATGATTCAAAATCTATTGCAAACATTATATCAATGAATGTACGTTTTTCATTATCAGCAAATGGAAGTGTTCTAAAAGCCCAAAAAATAAAAATTACTCATTTCGATGAGTACATTTTGGGATAATTGTATTTACTTTATCACAGCTATAAGACTAGAATAATTGTCTTCTGTCCACCTAAATATCAAATATTAATTTTATAGAAATCTCAGATTCTTTTTTTTTACGTTGTATTTCCTAATTCTTGAACAATAGTTTGACACATAGATGCTGCTAATGATGAACCTAATTGAGTTTCATCGCGTTTAACTAATTGTAAATAAATACTTCGTAAAAGTTCAATCATACTAAAAAGAAAGAAAATTTATGTATATGAACAAAATTTCTTTTATTGATAACGAACATATCGGCGTTTATGGATGATTCAATTAGTTTTTCGACTATTTCATGTGTTATATCAAGTAATGCTTCCGATGATATATTATCGAGCTGAATACAAAAGAAAAATGTAGTAGAAAAGACATTAGTTGTTTTCTTACATAAATAATCATAAGACCAACAATCTTTGTAAATACAAGATGATGAACAGTAGATACTGATGATGTAACAACAATTTGAATAGTCTTTTTGATAAATGTTGGAAGGATTGTAGCATCATCAGTTTCGTCTAGACATTCTATAATAAAAACAAAATATTTTCTTTCTTCGGAAGCCTTTTTCTCTGAAAAAATCTTATGAAGAAAATTATTTGTTTTGTGAAAAGTACAGAAAATTTTATTTTTTAATCTACAAATATGTACAAGCTTAAAACATTTTCAAACTGATTTGTCTAATCATTTTTTTATATTTACCTTTTAAATATTCTTTGAAAATATCAAATGGTCGAGAATCTGCACTGTTTGCATCAATCGATGATCGAAATTTATTAATAAACTAAATGAAAAGAATTATTATTCTTGTCTTTTAAAAATCTGATCGAATATGCATTTGAATCACCTTATCAAAATGATCATTAGTATTTATGGTTGAATTGGTCGTTTTTAGACGTTTTGACATTGTATCATTATTATCAATTTGTGTTCTTTTCATCTAAAGAGATATATAAAAACTATATATCGAAGAAAATATCTTTCGATTTCTCTTGTGAACCCGTATGTATGAAATACATCAGGAATACATCTTAAACATGGTAGATTAACAAAAGAAGGCCTTTCAAACATTTCTCTATCGAATTCTCAATTGGTAACTTCTTCAGTTATTTTCTCTAGTTCTTTTGGTTTTGGATCATTATATATAAATTAATATTGACTACCATTAACTAATTAACGTATAAACGCATTTTAGTGTTGATAATGGCTCTTTAATTGAATTTACATTTAAAATGCTTATCTGTTTTTGACTAGATTTATTCAAATCTACACCCCTTTAAATTAATGTCTATGAATAAAATCACGGATCGATCTACATTCTTCCGAAACTAATTTTTGATGTTCAATTTAACTTCAAATATATAATTCATTGTGTTTATCGATTTTCAATCCATTCTATTAAATAACTCCATTCCATCAGTTTATTAATAGTCATATTACGTATTGATCTATTTGTTAATATAAATCGCAGATAAAAAAACAAAAGCTTTTTTTAATGAATACATTCATCTCGTTGAATCAAGCCTAATAGCCAATGGCATTCATCGAACCCTTCTGCCAATCGTGAAATCGTCATAAAATACCTCAATCAATCCATATAATACCCAACTGCTATACTTAGTAACCAACGCTACACTCAATTTTTTCTATTTCAGCAACAAGATTTACTTCAAGATCCAATAACCAAACAATATCCTGACTTTAACACGAATGAAATGGACTACAGTAATTTTCTCAATAATATTTTCTGTCTCTTTCTACGGGAGTATTTTTGACCTATTTTGAAAATAGAGAGCAACTATTTTCACTTGGAAAGGTTTTTGAAAGCTAACATTGTTCAAAATCTTGTTGATCCTTACCTAGTTTTCATTTATTTGACTTCGGACCAATTGACTTCAAAGATATTGGATTTTATTTCGACAGTTCGTATGAATTATCCTGAACAAATACAAGAACAATTTAACAATGTTTCGTCTGATTTAAAACATAGAATTAATGATTCAACATTAATTGATAGTATAAGTAAATTAACGGTTTCAATCAAACAATATAATGACATTTATTATTCAAATGATTGTTATCGATTCAAGAAAAAAATGAAGAATATAGTGTAGGCGTAGGTGTGGATTGATGGTTGTGGGTACAGTGGTTTTCTTCATCTACACCCCACAAAACAACCTCAGACCACACATCCACACCCTGACGATCATTGCCAGGTTATCATTCGATGAAGAATAGAATTTTACACTCGGGATAATTAATTAGAGATCCAACACAAGTCCGACAATGAGCACTGACAAGCAAAGGTTGAATGTTGTGCTAGCTTTACTTACGCATTCGAAGGTGCATCGTCTTACTGCGATCAGATGTGCATGGGATACTCATGAATAAATAGCCAACACATGTCAAATACATCGTTTTGTGAAGAAAGAATGATGAAACGAAAAAAAATCTATTTAACCACTTATTTTAAGCAACATCATTTATATAAAAATGTTAACCGAGTTTTCTTGTTGTAGCAGTTGAATGAATCCAAAGAATGGGCATACATTTCGTCGTACAACATTGTGTCGTCTCATTTTGGTATGAAAAAACATGTCCTTACCATACTTGGAATTTACGTACATGAAATACATACTTAATGCGTTAATTCAAATTGTATCATAGTACTGACTTTGTAACTGTCTTGGATCGTGTTGAAAAAAAATCAGATAAATTTATAGTAGATATGGATGATCATGTGAGTATTCTAGCAGTAAATTTATTGTAATTTATTCAATTGTTTTCTCAGAATTACTATGAAAGTATTGAGCTGATAACTGCCAAATCATCTGATGCTAAAAAAAGATCATCGATTAAAAATCGAATAGTAGAGGTCGAACATACACAATATTCTGTCATTGTTTATGCATAATATGACACTGACGACATGCTAAATTTTTCATAACCACAACTTTTACTTTGAGACATTCACATAGTTTTTTCAGAATCCTATTTTACATCTAATGATATGTAAATTAGATATCAAACCATGCGGATATTCTTGCGAAAACCAAACATTCTTTCATTCTTAAAAGTTACAACAAAGTCTATTTGTTAAAGTATAAAAGTAAGACAAAAGATTGATCGATCAAGATGAAAATCATAGGAATGACCAGTAACTTCCGGCTCTAAAATCTCTAAAAGTTTCAAGTTAAAATATCTTTCTTTTTCAACAGG